TCCCAAAGCCGAGATTACAAAAAAGGGACAATTCACTCTTTACCTTTAGTAATGAATAGTTTGTTCTAAAGATGCATATTCATGGAAACCCAGGGAAGGATGAGAAATCAGGGTCAGGAAGAACTGGAATAGGAGGATGGTTATGAATTCAAGGTAATTCCAAGCCCTCGGCCACAGGATTTTGTGAATCTTGACTCTTCTGTGACTCATGATTCCCTTTACGATTGCCACACTCTCCTCGCTGCTGCCTAGCTTTCGTATCGTCAGAGTTCTGCTTACTCATAACTTGGCTTACTCACCACTCGACTCAGTCAAACCTTTGATTCACTCAAGCCCCCTCCTGCTTCTCCAACTTCTCCTGACCTCTTTGCCTCTCAGTTCTATTCATGCATTGGTTCCTTAATTTGAAAAGTAACTACAGAGCATCTACGACGGGACCCCACGCAGTTTATTATCTAGTCATAGATATTAGCAATCAATTTAGTACAAAAATGCCCTAGGTGCTGGAAATGGAACCCGGGGCCTTGTGCATTCTAGGCAAGTGTGTTGCAGCTAAGCAACACCCCAGCCCACTTCAGGTACAGTCTGATTGACTCAGCTTATTTGTTCAAATGAGGACTTAAGATCAGTCGCTGGATGTTGCACAAACTGGCTGCTTTCAGGAGCACCAGCAGTAGGCCGTCCTGTTTAAAACCGCATGACCTCCCCTTTCCTTAAAGTCCAGACAGCTGATTAAACTAAGGGCTGGCATTTGACCAAGGAAAATTAATACATTGTGCAGCCAGCAACCTGTAGTTTAACTCTAATAAGCTTCCCTGAGAGGAAGAAATTACAGTGTAGCAGATGCTATATAGAATTGACTTGTTTACCATGGGGGGATAAACCTTGTACTCCAGAGAAGTGATAGTATATGTGGAAGGCCTTGATCCATAGGGAGTTTTCTCATTTGTGGAAGAGAAAGTTAGAGGGTACTTTTTCGATGCAGGAACTCTGAGAATGGTAAAGGGCAGAGACAGGGTGTTTTTGAACATAGCATAAGGCTGTGTTTATCACTCGATGGTGGCCAGAGTGAGGCTTAGGAAACTGTGCCAAGTTCCTTGTAGTGAAGTAGCATAGCCCTGGATAGGGATAACCCAGTGACCATTTCCAGGAGATTTGTTTCTCAGGGATTCTCTGGGACAGTCCTTGGTCTGGCCCCAAGTGCATAGGTTTCAACATAGCACTGGGTCTTGTGTCAGGCTTTGGGCCATTGTGTTTATTTAGGCTGTTCTCAATGAAGCATTTTAGAGATGCTATGGCATTTTAGACAAGCCATTCAGACACATCGTGGCACAACTATAGCACACGACCTTGAGTTCTTCTGTTGGAAACCACAGATAGAGTTTTTGCAGAGAAGGTCAGATTGAAGGGGCAGTCCCTTACGCTGTTGGTTGTGGGCTGGCAGTAGAGTTGGCATGGCTCAGTTGGCTACATGTTCTGTGTTGTTTTACTGGTGTGGCAGGAAAGGAGGTGAGGCCGCAGTGACACTGAATAGTAAAAGCATTCTCTAGGAGCCAGATTGATTAAAGGGCTGCTGGTTCTTGGGAGTTTGTGTATACTGAGTTTTGGAACAGGTTGTTGGCACATTTGTTCTGTTGTCTGAAGATGGGCTTCAATTTGAAATAAAAACACACAGAGAACTAATTTCCCTTTAGGACCATCTGGTAGAATGTCCCCAACCTGACTTAGAGAAGTATTTGGTGTTGGTCCAGGGTAACTTGAGGTTATGGTAGTTTATACAGACCCTAGTCACAGTCCTAGAACACAGAGGCAGGTTTCTGGAACACAGAAATAGGAATCCAGGAACTACAGATCTGCCAAGAACAGGAGAACACTAAACAGCAAATTGGGTGTATTAGGATTCATTGTGAAAGCCCTGGGGGTGGGGAGGGACAAGAATAAAGGTACTTATGTGTCTAGAAGATCTCTAGCTTCTAGAGGCCATCAATCTTCCTTAGGTGACTACTTTGTGGTACCTTTTAGAGGTGGTCTGGTTCAACTTTTTCATAGCATTGGTGTAAATATCAAGACCCAAGAAAGACAACGAATCTTGCCTAGTTCAATCAAGAGTTGAAACAAGAATAGGACTCATGGAATGACCTCCCTTTTAAATGAGGTCTGGCAGGGAATGATCATGCACAGAGCTGAAAAGCAGGCAATGAAATGTTTGTGTTGCGTGTGTGTGGGCTTCACATTTGCAAGAAGGCTGAGAATCCATGTGCTCAACAGTCTCTCAGCATATCGTGATGGTGTTGATAAAACTGTCCTACATCCTCTGTGACAACTGGTAAATGACATCATTTTATCAGCTTGGGCAAACCAAAAACCTCAGTGGCCCTTGATCCCCAGCCCATATCCAGTCCCATCGCCAAGTCTTGTCCTTACCACTGCCCGCCACATTTTTTTTCTTCATAACCACCCTGAGCTGAACTATCATCTTCTCTTGCCTGGACTTCTGGGATATCTATCTATCTATCTATCTATCTATCTATCTATCTATCTATCATCTATCTATCTATCTATCTATCTATCTATCTATCATCTTCCTTCCTTCCTATCCCCTTTTTCCTTCCTTCTTTTCTGCCTCCTCTTTCTCTGTCCCCCTCTTTTTTTTCTCACCATGATGCCTAGGATGACCTTGAACTCTTGGCCTCAAGCAGTCCTCTTGCCTCATTACCCCGAGTGACTGGGACTACAGGTGTGCACCACTGCGGCTGGCTTGGTTTGGGTCAGAGCCTTTCTTTCTTTCTTCTTTTCTTTCAGCACTGGGAATTGAATCCAGGGGTGTTCTACCACTGAGCTAAATTCTCAGCCTTCTTATTTTTTTTATTTTGAGGTAGAGTATTGCTAAGTTGCTATTGCTGGTCTCAAACTTGCCATCATTCTTGCCTCAGCCTCCTGAGTTGCTAGGATAATAGGCTTGTGCCACCACGCCTGGCTTGCGACATGATCTAATGGTCTGGTCACATTTCCTCTGTCTCCAATCTCCTTTTCTTACAACAAGCAGTGAACTTCCCATCACCTCTTAATAAAAGATAAATTACTATTATTCAATAAATATGTCTATTACACATTTATTGTGTGCCAGATACTATGCATATAATGATGCAGCTTTCCCAGAAAGCAATTCACAGCCTAGGAAGGAGACAAATTTAATAAATTAGTTAATAGATTTCATTTTTTAGAGCAGTTTTACAGATTTGAGAAAATTGAGCACATAGTTCCGAGAGGTCCTTCATACCTGCTCTCTATTTCACTCAGTCTCTCCTATTATTAATATCTTGCATTAGTGTGGTACTTTTGTTACAACTGATGAGCCAATATTGATTCTTTATTATTAACTAAAATCCATGTGGGTTTTATTTTTGTTTGTTTTTGTACCAGGGGTTGATCTCAGGGGCACTTTACCACTGATCTATATCCCTAACCCTTTTTATTTTTTATTTTGAAACAGGGTCTCACTAAATTGCTTAAGGCCTGCTAAATTGCTGTGGCTGGCCTCAAACTTGTGATCCTCCTGCCTCAGCCTCCCATGCCACTGGGATTATAGGCGTGCACCATGACACCCAGATATTTTAATGTTTGCATATTTATATATATGCTATATTTAATGTTTGCATTAAGGATCGCATTTGTACAATTCTGTGGGTTTTGACAAACGTATAATGTTGTGTATCCATCGTTACAGTGTCTAACAAAATAGTCTCACTACCGAAAAGAAAAAAAAAAAGAAGTGTTCAAAATCTCTCCCCTCACTCAGTTTCACCTTGTTCCACTTTAGCTTTCTGCCTCCAACCATGTAGTTCTATTTGTTTCACTTCCTCAAGCCACACTCCATTCTGCCTCCGAGTTTTGCTCATGCTTTCTTCTTCCTGAAAACCTCCTTTCTACCCCTGGCCCCACCCCCAGGTCTTCTCACAGTTTATAATTATGTTCATGTGCACGATGATCAGACCTGCCTCCTCTCCAGGCTGTGAACTGCTCACTGGCGATGCTGTTGTCATCGTATCCACACAGTCACATGATGCATATTTGCCAAATAATAGTGATAAATAAATTAAGGAAGAAACACAACAGAACAGTGATGTGCTTGGTTGTGGGATGGTCAGGAAGAGTACTAAAGGTATGCGACCATCACCAGGAGACGATGGGAAACCCGTAAAAAAGTGCACCCTCTGGTCTGAGATCAGAGCTGAAACTTTGTAGAGGACTCCATCAATTTGATTGTGTCGGGAGAGAGAGCTGGATGAGTCCGGTGAGAGTTTCAAATTTCCAGGGTGGAACGGTTCCAGGGGTGATAAAGTACAGGGTGTGGCCACAGGAGTCCACTGAGGTGGAATATAAGGGAAGACTCTGATTGAAAGGTCAAGGAAAGGAGAAACTGGGCCATTAGTGGATGGTCACAGTGTCAGCAAAAGCCCTTCTTCCCTCCACCCCCTAGGATGAAGGAGTGAGGCAGGTATAATGCAAGTTGGGAGATGACAGAGATGAAAGGCAACAAGTTGAATGCTTGGTCCTCAGGGGAGCAGAGGTTTTTCATACCAGGACAAAGGAGAAATTGCTTAGAAGGTTCTTGGGAAAGTAGAAGAATGTTGCTTCTGCCTCCCTGTGTGGGGGGACATGGGAGAATAAATAACTTCTACAAGGGAAGTGGTAACCTCAGGGGAAAGCCAGGTTTCAGTTCAGGCTAGAAGGTGAAGGAGATTAGCTAGGTCTCTGGTTGCATTAACAGAAACCAATTTTGGCTGTCTGTGGCCAGGGAGTGGAGGGTTGGTGGGGGGTTGGGTGTCTGTGCACACTGAAACCACAAGACTACCAATATGGGTGGAGAGAGTGCTCTGAAGATCTTTTTGAACTGAGCAGATATTCCAAAAAGGTGTCCACTATAAATAGCTCCGTGAAGAAATTGAGGAAGTAAGAGAATTCGTTCACCAACAGGGGATTTATAGGACACAAATAGAATGTCCGCAGGAGTAGAGAGAAGCCGTTCAGAGAAGTGTGGGATTAGAGTGGGCTGTGAATTCCAAATGGTGGCATTCAGAAGTGTTATCCAGAACAGTAGATAATACCAGGACCTATAAACATGTGGTGACAATTGTCCTAGTTGCCCACAGCCTGAACTCTTGTTCCATTCCGGATTCCTGTCTGCTCCCTGATTCATTTTCCCCACTGAATTTGAATTTCTGACCTCCTTCACCTCAACTCCTTTCTTTGCCTTGGAAGATCTCTCACATCTACACTGCCATTAAACCTTCTGCTACCTCCTAAGAAGTTGGACCCCTGGATGTTTTAATTAAACTAACACCCAATATGTGGATCTGATGCTGACCTGTCCTGCGCCCCTGAGCCCTGTCAAGCCTCTTCCATTTCCAACTTACCACATGATATTGCAGACATTTTTATGTCTCTCTTGTGTTCTAATCTACGAGTCTCTTCAGACCAAGGATCATTTCCTATTCTTATTTCTATCCTCCCCTCCAAGTAAATGGACTTTGATCTCTTATTACCTTGTTCCTGTAGCCTAGAAATGTGAGACTCTGCAAGGTGGCCTCTGTGGTGAGACTTTCCCATTCTTGCCCACCCTTTTGTATGATTACTGATTTTCTGGCCTTGATTCCACATTTGCCAGACTTAGACCATCTGGCGGGCTAGACAAACTCAGCTCGAGAGACACCCTGTCCTGATTCTTCCTAGCCTGTCTTCCCAGCATCCTCCCAGAATACGGGGCTGACACATACTGTGTTTTCTCCATTTCCTAAAATGACATCTCTACAACATGGTTGAGTCTCCAACTTCCAACACTTAGATTAGGGCCAGGATCACCTTGTCCATATTCCCTGGAGTGAGTCCCCCACACCCTGTGTATCTCTGCTATTCCAGCAGAGGGGAAGCCTGAGGTAAATATATAGGATGATAATTTGCATGGTCATGATAATCTCTGATTTCAGGAAAGTGACAGACTTTAGGGATTTCAACTGTATAGGTGATATTTTATTTCTAAAGATGGTACCTATGGGGCTACAATTGTGGCTCAGTGGCAGAGCGCTTGCCTAGCACATGTGAGGCACTGGGTTTAATCCTCAGCAGCACCATATAAAAATAAATAAAAGTATTACATCCATTTACAACTAAATAAATTTTTAAAAGATGGTACCTATGTATTATATCCTTACATCTTTTTGTAATTCTGAAATATTTCAATGAAAACATTTAGAATTGGAGGTACTTGGCTTTTACCCTACTGGATCCTTGTAGGTGGACCTGGGGGTACAGATAGCACAGACAGACTCTGGGGGGCTGGGGGGAGTTAAATCAGAACATTCATCAGAGAGAGGATAAAGAGGTAGTGCAGGGCTTCCGGACTCAAAACCAGCATTTCAGACCACAAAGCTGTGAGGTCAGTTTGACTGACTATGAAAGCATATGAATTTATTGTGCTTATGGGTGAAAAACCTCAAAAATAGACAATTCCCAACTTATTAGTTTATTTGTTGGTCTGTTGCCTGGAATTGGGATCAAATTTTCCTATAGAAATAATATTACAAATGGTGGCTCTTTCCCAACACCAGCCCACAAAAGCTTACAGAACCCTAATGTACCTAAAATATTGTACTAATAACACTAAAGACCCCGACCACTTCATAACAGTGTTTCTGTGGCCAAGTGCATTTAGAGTTTTAATGCCAGTAATACACATTCCTCTGCCCTGCAATTCTTCAGGACTCTTGACCTTGTTCCCACAGAGCTGATTCTTATCAGAGTGGCTCCATATGTAGTGGAGAGCAGATTAGTTGCTTTCTCTTGCTGCTAGATTCAAGCTAGAGTTTCAAGCAATTTATCTTCACTGAGTTGACCCCAATCTCTACTATGTACCCGGATGTGTGATCTAAGTTCAGCCTTTATGCAATATGCAGCTTCTTATGCACACATGCTTTCCACACCCTAATACAAGCTATACAAAAACTGTCACATTAGGGACTTAATTTGTATATTTCTTGTTGTTAGGGGAGACAACCAGTAGTCCTCATTTTATGAGGGAAATGACATGGAAGACTTTAGAACTAGTAAAATAAGTCCCTGAGACACTGGCAGGGGAGATAAGCCTGAAACAACCTTTGAATAGAGATCCTCAAGATCAAGAAGTCACCCTGATGTTGGTTACAACGAGAAGGAAAAATGTGCTCTGTGTTAGGACAGGTGGCTTTGGCAGGAAGCATCCCTGAATGTGCTACTGATACTCTAATACTCTCACTTGGAGAAATGAAAACTAAAAAATCCCCATGGCATGTGGGGGTGGGGGTTGCTAAATACAAAACTATCATTTTTTTTCATAGACCAAATGTCTTTCTGTTGACTGTGAAAGTTGTTGTAGGAAACTTTCTCACTCCATCCAGAGTCCCAGTTTCAGTGATGGGGGACAGTGCTATACAGTGGTCCTGGTGGCTTTTGGACAGTGGAGACTTAGAACCCTAGTATCACAAAAGGCTTATTTTTTTTTAAGAGAGGGGGAGAGAGAGAGAGAATTTTAATATTTATTTTTTAATCATCGGCGGACACAACATCCTTGTTTTGTACGTGGTGCTGAGGATCAAACCCGGGCCACATGCATGCCAGGCGATCGTGCCACCGCTTGAGCCACATCCCCAGCCCCAGGCTTATTTTGTTAACACTCTGATTGCAACAATATCTTTCCTCTATTATATAGTTTTGATGGGATCATGAATCAAACCGCCTTGTTTTCCCCTAGCCAATGAGCTAGTCAAAGACAGTCTCCTGGAACTTGAATCAATCAATCAATCAATCAATCAATCAATCAATCTCTACCCCCCCTTTCTCTCTTTCTTACCTCCCTCCTTTCCTTCCTTCCTTCCATCCTTTTTGTCTTCCTTTCTTTTTTCTCCTAGTGCTGGGGATGCAACCCAGGGCCTTGTGCATGCTAAGCAAATGAAATATGCATCTCTGGGACTTGAATGTTTTTTTTTTCACTCTCTCTGTTTCTCTCTCTCTCTCTCTCTCTCTCTCTCTCTCTTTCTGTGTGTGTGTGTGTGTGTGTGTGTAGTACTGAGATTTAACTCAGGAGCACTTTACCAATGAGCATACCCCGAGCCTTTTTTATTTTTTGAGATAGGGTCTTGCTAAATTGCTGAGGCTGACCTTGAACTTGTGATATTCCTGCCTCCACCTCTCAGGTGGCTGGGATTATAGGTGTGCACCACCCGCCTGGCTGGGCTTGACTCTTTTTTTTTTTTTTTTTTTTTTAGAGAGAGTTTTTTTTTTTTAATAGTTACTTTTTAGTTATCAGCAGACATTACATCTTTGTTGGTATATGGTGCTGAGGATCGAACCTGGGCCGCACGCATGCCAGGCGAGTGCGCTACCGCTTGAGCCACATCCCCAGCCCCGGGACTTGACTCTTGAATGCATAACTTAGACACTGAGCATCTGGTTGGCACCCATTAACTCAGTGCTATGCCCTCAGACTGTCAAGTGCTTCCTGCCACCTAAACCTCTGGACATGTCCTGCTTCCTGTCCTCCAGCTTTCCCATTAGCTCCATCAGCTTCCTATCATCTTCCTAAAATATTTATTTTTAATCAAATTATCCAGAGTCTGTTTCTGTTGTGTATGAGTGAAGAACTCTAAATAATTGACACCCTGATGGCAGAAGGTTGATAGATGAGAACAAATCTGTTGCTTCAAAGCAACTCAAAGAATAAATTCACAGAAGTCATAGTTAATAGCATGTCAATCCCAAACACAAAATGAAAATCCACATCATCAAAATGTGATGAGCTCAACTTTTGTCTGAGAAGGCAAAGGTGGATGCACAGAGGGAAGTTTACTACAAACATTAGCCAGGAATAGTGGCACATTCCTGTAGTCCCAGATACTTGGGAGGTTGAAGCAGAAGGATCATGTGAGCCCAATTTGAGACCAACCTGGGAAACATAGTGAGACCCTATTTCAAAACAAAAACAAATATAAACATTTCCCTGGAAACAGGTTACCAATCCCTAGACCTACGCTGTGTTATTTACTTTAGCGACATAATAGTTATGATGGTGTATTCACTGGTAACCAGGGYTTTGACTCAATTATTTAAGGAAACAAATATATTAATTTATAGGGAATACATATATTTGTTTACACTAATGAAAAGATTTTTAGGAAAACGGGCAAATTGCAATGCCATTCCGTTGTCACCATTTAAAAGGACCAAATTAAGATTCAATGTTAATTTAAAAATAACAACTGAGACAAATGTGTCTGCTTAATTAAACCAAACAGTTGGCCAAATAAAGTGAGGTATGTTTCAACTCAACCAGTTGGCATTCTCTATTTGCTCCAGGATTAGTAGACTGGGTGACTGAGCTTATCTAAGGGCAGACTACTTCATCCATTGATGCCTGGTCTAAAGAGGTACCATCGACCCCACCAGATGCTCTCTTTGGGGCCTCATCCCATGAGATATCCTGGTCCTGAGGCATAGGAGATGCTTCACATCCCAGTGGAGCTCCAGCTTCTGGGCTCCAGTCTTTGGACTGAAATGATGGTGGACTTAGGGGCCTCAAGCAGCTATCTCTGATCTCACTCATTTCTCTCCCACCTGACACAAGGCCACTGCAGCATACATAGAAACTAAGGACATTCAATGTGAATGCTGTCACTAGATTTCTGGCTCCAATTGGAGGCCCATGACCTTACCATGTCCTGGAAAACTCACTGCCTCTCCCCACTGACATATTTCTACCATAATAGAGCCCATGGCCTCTCCATATCCTACTCCCAACCAAACCCAATCTCACCTGATCTTTGTTCCCAGATTCTAGTTGAGCACAAGACTTGGAAAGAACTGTTTTTTTGGTACAGGGATTGAACTCAGGGGCACTCGACCACTGAGCCACATCCCCAGCCCTATTTTGTATTTTATTTAGAGACAGGGCCTCACTTTTGCTGAGGCTGGCTTTGAACTCATGATTTTCCTGCCTCAGCCTCCTGAGCTGCTGGGATCACAGGAGTGCGCCACCATGTCGGTCAGGAAGTGCTTTTGGACACAGAGGCAAAGAACCTTTCCTGTTCCATAAGTGGGACCATACAACAGATCTGGTGCCATGTGATGATCCTTCCTGTATATTCCTTTCAGAGTCAGAGACCTTCAGCAGGTGTAAATGACCCCCTCTTTTTTTTCATCGTAGCATATATATATATATATATATATATATGTATATATATATATATTTATATATATATATATATATAAAATTACTTTTTCTTTTTTTTTTTTTAGCTGTAGTTGGACACAATACCTTTATTTTATTTATTTGTTTTTGTGCGGTGCTGAGGATCAAACCCAGGACCTCATATGTGCTAGGCGAATGCTCTACCGCTGAGCCACAACCCCAGCCCTTGTAGTAGTTTTTATCAGCCTCTTCCCCTCCTTAATCCTCACCCCAGTGTCTCATAATAAGGAATAGAGAATTCTACCTCTACAGAATGACCGCTTCTGAGTCCTCCATCTGTGATCACTGTCTGCTCCAGTTGATCTCTGACTTCAAGCACAGATCTTTACAAAATAAAAATTTCAAGGAGCCTACAATTTCATCCAGATCTGGAAGAAAAATGAAAGAAAAAGTGCCCTACAGACTGCTAAGTCTAAATCATAGTGTTGCCTTTTACCCGCACAGTCTTGGTCATTTAATGAACACCTTCTGTGTGACTTCGGGGAAGTCATGCTCTACCTACACAAGATACATCCCTGATCTGATAGGAGCCCAGAAACCAGGTTTTTTTTTTTTTTTTTTTTCTCCAATTACTGGCCATCTAGCAACATTCCAGGCCAACTCTAAGAATTGGCTCAGAGATCCCCATGGTTATCTACATGGTGGCCTTGTACTTTGTACTCAGGCAGGTTCACTAAAGGCATTGAGTTATTCCTGGGATTCTTACAGGCCTTTGCTTTCATTGGACCAAAACCAACCTTCCCAAAAGGAAGAAAAAGTTTCCCTTAAATAAAGAGTTAGATAAAGCATTCTAGTTGTTGAAGACTAAATTCTTTTTCAACTTTGGCTTACATGGTGCCTTTAACAGTGCAGTGTGGACTTGTTTCCTAGGATAAGAGATCCACAGCTCTGGCCATAATCAGTCCCAGTGGAGGAAGTGAATAGGCATTATGGCCTATGAGAGCTACCTTAGAGGTCTGGAAGCATCATGTCTAGGTATCCACCATCTTGTGGTAAAGTACTTAGACCATTAAAGCCTGGAACAGCTGAGACAGACTCAAATGAACCCCTTTCTTTGACTATTTCAATTTTACCATCTCCTAAATTAGGCAGCTACATGGACAAGGGGATTCCATATTTCAAAGTATCAGGGAGTGAAAGAAACATTTCTATTCTTGTAATTCCTCTTATGGTCATAACAAATGAAAGTAATCCAATGTCTGATGTTCATGGTGCCTAGAATAAGCACCTAGCATAGAACCAGTCACCCAGAAATAAGTCAGGGGAGACTCTGACCACTATAAAGCCACCTTATCGGAAGGGATTTCTGTCACAAACACTTTGTCTTTTTTTTTTTTATACTAATTCTCACCTCATATGACACCTCAAAAGGAAATCCTGCTAAGTCAAGGTTCAAATGTTTTCTCTCTTATATGGAAGCTAAAGAGAAATAAGAAATTTTTTTAAAAAAGGGAAACTTCATGAAAATAGGAAGGAGAACAGTGGCATAGAGGAAGCAGATTAAGGACGAGGGAAGAGAAAAGGGAAAGGAGAGAGACTGAAATAAAATGCTATGCGAACATATGAATGTATCACAATGAATTACACTTCTACACATAACTATACTGTACCAATTAAAAAATAAATTAGTATAAGGAAGATCAATAGAGTAGAGTAAGAGGATGGGGCGGGGACTCTTGAAGGGGGTAGTACTGGGGATTAAAATGGAGCAAATTATGTTACATGCATTTATGAATATTTCAAAATGAACTCCCAAGTTATGTATAATTATTGATAAATATAAAAAACAAAAAATGGAAAAACCATATATATGTATATATATGGTTCACATATACRTGTGTGTGTATAAATGCTAAATGAAAGATGCCAAGATGCCAGACTGAAAAAACTACATAGTATTCATTACATTTGTTCCATTTAGAGAACATTCACGAAAATAAGAAGTATAGAACCAGTAAAAATATCAATGATTGGCAGCAGTTCGAGGCAGGGTGTTGACTAGGTTAAGCATGTATGATTTATGGAGTGTTGAATTTATTCCATACCGTATTGTATTGGTCAATACATAACCCTATGAATTTGTCACCCATAGACATTTATAACACAGAGTGAACATTAATGCCTGTAAGATCAAAAAGCACATATTTAAGAGGTAGAGAAATACCATGATGGAATGCAGACTATGATAGAATAATTGTGTCAAAATGTTTATGAAATACAATCAAGGATGTGTGTTGTAAAAAAATAAAAATAAAACCAAAAAAAAAATAGCACTAGGTGTGGTAGCATATGCCTGTAATCCCAGTGACTTGGGAGGCTGAGGCAGGAGGACTGTGGGTTCAAAGCAAGCCTCAACAACTTAATGAGGCCCTATCTCAAAATAAAAAAAAAAAAATTAAAAGGGCTGGAGATGTAGCTCAGTGGTTAATACCCCTGAGTTCAATCCTCAGTACTAAAAACAAACAAACAAACAAACAAATCACACAAAATAAAAGGAATCCTGCTAAAAGAAAGAAGAAGGTAAAATCTTAAAACACTAGAACAAAAATGTGATATATTTTATCTGTCTGTTAGATAAGGAAAAACCTTGTAATCACTAAATCAGTAGATGAAATATCAAATAAATTAATTCAATTACATAAAAGAAATATCTTCCCTATAGCAAGATATCAAAATGAAAATAAATGCTAATAATTAGTCTGAGAAAAGTTATCCTATTTTAAAATCTTTATGTTGCATTTAAATAAATTCAGAAGAAAAAACATTGGGATCCAAGTTTAGAAAAATAAGTAAAGGACATGGACAGACAATTCAATAAACAAATGACTAAAAATATGAAAAAGTTTAATTTTACTAGTATCATCTATCAGAGATGTTAGCACCGACTTAGATAATATCCTGTGTTGGCAAGACTGCAGAAAGGAATGTGGATTTGACCAAATTTTCTGCAAAACAATTTGACCATATGTATCAAGAGTCTTAAAATACTCAGGCTCTTTGAGCTGATAATTTTATTTTCAAGAATAGCTTCTAGGCCAGCGTGAGCGCCCTGCAGCGCCTGGTGGAGCAGCTCAAGCTGGAGGCCAGCGTGGAGAGGATCATGGTCTCTCAGGCTGCAGCAGAGCTTCAGCAGTACTGCATGCAGAATGCCTGTAAGGATGCTCTGCTGGTCGGAGTTCCAGCCGGAAGCAACCCCTTCCTAGAGCCCAGATCCTGCATTTTACTCTGAAGACTTGGAAGAAGTTTGTTGAGAAATGCCTTCRAGCACAAAGTAATGAATGACTGACTCCAAGTCTCAAGAAAACACTTTTCTTTAGCCAAATGACTGAGATATTTCAGACCTTTCCAGTGTCCTGATCTTACAGCCAAAATTCTACAGAAATTAATGATTTTTCTACTCAAATAAGGAAACTGAGTGAAGAAATAGAATTGTTTTAAGTAATAATGGCTTGGTTCTCCTGAAGAAGTGCTTTGTATTAAGATAAAAACCTTACCACCAAATATACCAAAATACACCTCTTTAATAAGTGAGTTACTGGTGTTGCTATACCTAGAATATCATGTATGTTTTATTAACTGGATGTTTACATTTTAGGAAGGAAAACACTTTTGTTTATTAAAAAAATGGAGTATTTGTAATTTGTTGTTCCTAAGATTTTTATACTATAATAAAATTTGTTCTATTATAAATATACAATTACTAAATAAAGACAAGAAAGTATAAAATTGTGGGGGAAGAATAGACTTTACTAATTGAATGATGCCTTGATTTTTTCTAAATAAGAAGATTGTTTTATTTAACACAAGAGATGTTGTTTAGAAAGATTCATGTTATGATATATATTAGGTTGTCCCATTTTATGTATGAAGCAGATTTGATCTCTTTTTAAGTTCCTTTACTTTATAGTTGTGGTTGCACTTTTAAAAAGATACTACATTATTTCATGCCTTTAAAAAAATGTTTAAAGTAGGACCTACATACAGAACATTGCAAATGACTGAAAACAAAGCAATGTGAAAATATTATGACCTAAAAGAATTCTTCATGATTTGATGATGTGCCTTTGATTTAATTTGGGATACTTTTAGAAGGATACTTAGTGTTTGTAATAATCTTTGAAGATCTTGGAAATAAATTCTGTTTAATTCATCATTTTCTATGACAGCAAAAAAAAAAAAAAAGAATAGCTTCTAAGGAAATAATCTAAAATGTGAACACAGTTTGATGCAAAAAAGTATTTACCATAGTATAATTTATAACTGAAAACAACCTAAGTATTCAACAATAGTGAGCGTGTTAAAGTAATTTGTGACATAGCCACATGAAATTCATGGGCTCCCATATGTAGTTGTTAAAAATAATTTTGTTACAGAGATACTTGTGAGATGATAGTGGGTGTAAAAGACAGAATACCAGAATGAATATACTCATAAATTATATTTTAAAAATAAGAGTAGAAGACCAATCAAGATGGATGGGAGTACAAATAATGTTTTTTAAAAATTTTTTTGTAGTTATAGATGGACAACATGCCTTTATTTTTTATTTTATTTTTATGTGGTGTTGAGGATTGAACCCAGTGCCTCACACACGCGAGGTAAGCAGAGCACTCTGCCACTGAACTGTAGCCCCAGCCCCGTTTTTGTTTTAATCTCTATACTTATCTGTATTTTTTCCATATCCTTGTAACCCAAATTGTCTCTAGACTTCTGGCTAATAGTGCTTTCTCTTTTTTCTACCACTTTATACCATTATGGAGTTTCTGGTGGTACATAAAGAACTGTAGTTTAGATAATAACTGAAATACTTTATGCATATCAGACAAATGAACATTAGATAACTTTGTATTTTAATGTCTATTATCATGGTATATGAGTGAATTTTTTAATAATTTAAGACTGAAATGATAATTTCGCCTTTGAATCTGAATTTTGGTAGAGTATCCCAGAGAGCAACCGGTAAGACAGATGTCTGTCCTGCTCATTATTCCTGGCCTCTGCTACATTTGCCTTGGGTCACATTTTTTAGATTCCATCTTTTATCTTGCTCTCTGGGCCTTATCTGACTTCTGTATAGGTTCTTCAAATCAAATCCAGTTCTTTATCTCCCACAATGCTTTTGCTCTTGTGTTGTGTGCGTGACTACACACTTGCTGTGGAGGATCAAGCCCAGGGCCTGTGCGTGCCAGGCAAGCACTCTACCCCAACCCAGCGCTCTTGATATCTAGATGGCCCACTGTCCTTGACATATGGTAGTTTGAGAACTCAACCCAGAGGTGATGCAAGGATTTCCCAAGGTTCTGCATTTGCTTGGAGTCGTGAACTGGTTCTCCAGGACTGTCTTATGGTTTGTTCCAGGTCTCTAGATCCCCCAGTTGGCAAGGCATTCCCAAGAAGTCAGTAAGGAATTCACTCCTTGATTGACTCTCTCTCTCTTTTCTTTTCCCTCTTCATTCAAAAACAGTCTCTTGGGACCAGTAGAGAAGGTGTCTGGGCCTTTCTGGTGATCTGGCACCCTCCGGTGGCTGTGGGTAGGTGTGCCTGGGCTGGTAGTGAATTTTAGCACTAGGTCCTGCTGCAGTGTCCCCAGGCCTATTAGCGCCCTCCTGTGACAGTTTAAAGGAGCCATTATCAGAGATCTAAATCAGATTCTGGCAAGCCTTACTTTAGCCCAGTTTCTTAAAATTCACCACCTGCAATTTACTGATGGAGAAATTCATAAAAGACCCTGCCTTACTTTATCTTATAAAATGCATTTGTATCAAGATACGCTAAGATCTACATTCTTTTTTTAAAAAAATATTCTTTTAGTTATCGATGGACCTTTATTTTATTTATTCATTTATATATGGTGCTGAGACTTGAATGCAGTGCCTCACATGAGCTAGGTTAAAGGAGAAGCCTTTTCTGGATTTGCATTTGGCAGGGAAGTAATAATAATTACTAACTTAATTAAGGACCAGATACTGAACTAAATGCTTTACATACATTAGCACCTAACACTTAGCAATAACCCTGGGAGGTAGGCACCTATTTTTAATCTCCATATTACAAAAGAGGAAGTCACAAAGAAGTCAAGGTTAAGCTTAAAGGTCAAGATCTCCCATTAGCTTGTTGTTAAGTTAGGATTCAAAACCAGAGCACCAGAGTCAGGAGCCACGCATGCTTAGGAATCACTAAACCGTACCATCTCTGTAGAAAATTGGAATGTCCTCAGAGGTCATATTCTCTGTCATACAGAGGAAATTAGTACTGTAGTAAGAAGGAAAGGAAAAAAAAAGTAGAGAGAAGCAGAGACAAGAGATAGAATTAAAGTCCTAACAGGGTTTGAGTCCTTAGTTCCAGTTGTTTCTGAGGCCCCAGATCATCCTGTTCTTCTCCAGACTCAGTTGTGTTATCAGATATCCCAGTCCTTCCAATAAACTCCTCCCTTTGATCCATGTGATGTGGCTTTTGGTCATTTATAATTCAAGGGCCCTACTGAAACAGAAAATAAGCAGAGTCAGGCATGGTGGTGCACACCTGTAATCCCAAAGACTTGAAAAGCTGAGACAAGAGGATCACAAGTTTGAGGCCAGCCTCAGCAACTTAGCAAAACCCTCAGCAACTTAGTGAGGCTCTGTCGCAAAATAAAAAATTAAAAAAAAAAAAAGTTGGGGATGTAGATCAGAGGTAAAGTGTCCCTGGGTTTAATCCCCAGTACCAGAAGGAAGAAGGAAGGAAAGGAGGGAGGGAAGAAAACAGGCAGAGTATTTTTCAAGGGAATAAGAGAGTCTAAGTATTAACATCCAGAGCGACWTAAAACAAAATATTAATGAACTGTCTGACCCAAACCGTGTTATCTTGGTTGCAAGAAACAGAGACTCAGTCAAGTTACTAGAGACAAAATACTCATTACTCAGAGAAAAATCAGAGAAAAATTTGGGGCTGAGGTTGTAGCTCAATGGTAGAGCACTTGCCTAACATGTGTGAGGCGCTGGGTTTGATCCTAACACCACATAAAAAAATAAGTAAATAAAGGTATTGTGTTCATCTACAACTAAAAACATTTTTTTTAAAGGAGGGTGCATAGAAATGAGACACGTGTACTGAAACCTGGTTGAACTGAACTACAGAGGCTGCAGCCGAGTTGGAACTGCAGCTGTAGTACTAGGGAACAGCCACGGGCCCTCTTCTCAGGATTTTTTGACCTCTAGGTGAGTCAGCACCACCCTCCCTCGGGGCCCACTTTCTTAACCTACTCATCTTGCACCCAGCTGCAAAAGTGACCACTCTAGCTTCTATGCTTCTACCAGTTTCAGCACATGTCAAAAGAGAAACTTCCCTTTGTGTCTCTTATTGCAGGTTCCCAAAAGAGAAGACTTCACTTCTACGTATCTTTTTTTTTTTTTTTAGTTTAAAAAAATTATTTTTTTAAAATTTGTTCTAATTAGTTATATGTGACAATAAAATGCATTTTGACACATTGTACACAAATGGAGCACAACTTCTCCTTCCTCTGGGGGAACATGGTTCATTCAGAGTCACACCAGTAGTGTAATCATACATGGACACTGCTTATCTCTTAAAACCAAACTCCCTGAGGCAAAGGTGACTGGGTATAGTTTATAGCCACCCCCTTGGACCAGGTGTCCAATTAGCTGTGGTCATGGTCATGTGGCCCACTGCTTCCTTAGTAATGTGAGTGGTTAAGGATTTTACTAGAAAGGGCTGTGGGCATGGCCAGTAATAATTGGCATCTCTAATCAAGCCAACTTAAATGTAATTTGAACTCTTGCCAATAAGAAAAATTAAACATGTTGTAAACATGGGCAACTCATTTCCCAAGGACCCTCTGTAATTATCTCAGGTTGGTGAGAGACTTCACCTTCTGGTGCTTGTGGGCATGTGTGCCATCCCCTACCTCAAAGTGCACCTTCTCCACGTCCCCAGTCCTGCCTGCACCTGTCTTAAACAGTCTGCAGTGAGCTAGACTTCTCCACTCACTTGGGAGTCTATTAATTTTTTTTCTCCCCTTAACCACACTAAAGACTTTGCTTAGTAAAGCATTTTGAAGATTTAGAAAGTGACTGCTCAGTCTGCTTAGGATTTATATCTCAAACAGATGTGCCAAGAAGTCATAGGAATCAAACTGCTGTTCTGTGACTAGAATAATATATTAACTTGTCTTTTAGTAGTTTCAATTACACAGCTGTACAAATTGCAGTGGAGTTGTCACAGCTAAAGATGTTTTTATC